ATTGACATTATTGTAATTCTAAAACTGTTCAAATATACTGTATAACTCTCGAAGGCGGCTGCTTCATGTGAAATGCATGCATCAAAGCCCTATGTTTGGTGTTTTTAACAGTGGTATTTGGTGTTTCTCTGGTGGTATAATAACATCTATTAAGTAAGCACTGGTGAGATAGTGGTCCAAGGACTAAACGCTGCCGCTCAAGGAAACATAAATGTAAAATAAATGAAAACCAAAGTGTTTAGACCACTTAGAGAAGCTGATGAAAAGGTGTGCGACCGAGAGCCGCAGACAAGGCTCCAGAAATAACAGTCTGAGGTTGAAAAATTATTCATATTTTAACACGTTTTTCTCTGGACAGGGTTCAGACAAGTTTCCCTGCAACAAGCCAAATCCTCCACTGGACTCCTAAAACAATTCCGTCATTGTCCCAAGCTTCAATAAATGGGACTAGAGCTGTACTTTGAAGGGTATTGGCATATTTCAATCTACTTTGACGTTTTCTTTAACATGAAGAGGATAGAGCTGTTGTTTCTTCAATTGGTAATTCTGGTTTAAATTTACACTGCATTTTTTTCTAGATATGAATTTTAACAGAATTCCTTGTTTGTTAGTGTGATGTGGTGGTTCTGTGTCTGCCTGTCGCTGGAGCTGAAGCTGGGATGGGCTGATAATGAGCAGTGGGATGAAGGAGAGTTATGGAGGTCTTATCACCTCCCCAGGGGTCAATGCAGCTCTGGTGGCCCCACACTCCCTAAACATCCAGGTAGAGCTAGTATCATATATAAGACTCAAACTTGAGTACATTCTTGAAGTATTCTTGAAGTGTAAGCCTGATGTGCCTTTGCTTAAACTGAGTCTAATATGAATCAAGTAATTGTATTTAGTTTAGTACAGAGCAAAGGCATTACATTGCTGACTGGTTGGGTCTGATATGTTTAAAACTGTTCAGCTTATTTATAATACATTTATTTTTGTATAAATATAAAGTTATTCTAAATATTTGAAATGTCTCCACTGTGGGACAAATAAAGGATATAATAACAACATAAAAAAGGCTTAGAAAGTTGCTCTAATATACGTAAATTATATTTTTTTAAATCTATATTTGGGCAGCACTTTTCCCAGTGTGCACAGTGAGGAAGATAATTTTTTCTATCAACTAATCCCATAAGAATGAATTATTGAACCAAAACTATACCTACGTGTGTAAAACTATAGCCATAGTTTTGTGATTGTGAGTGATCTGATGAATACAACACACATTTCAACACAAAAAGCTTTGGTCCATTTTGCAGTTTAATTGTATTGTGTTTTGTTGCAGGTTTAATGAATATACAAGAAATTACACATTGGTTTCAAAAGTAGCACAGCCTCTTATCCTGACCTTAGCATGAAAAGTAATAGGTAAACAGAAAATGCGTAAATGTCGCTGCAGTGTGAGTCCAGCGGTGTTGTGGCTGCAGAGGTCAGAGACCCTGGTGCGGAGACCTGTGGGGGGCCAACCTCGGGGCAGATTTGTGGAGACGTATCAGACGGGAGTGGACCACAATAAATTATCTCTTTGGCACCAATGACAAATCCCTGATAATCACACTGTCAACCAGAGAAAGCAGTTTATTCTCAATCTTTCTGTCGCCAACATTTATTATAAAGGGAAGGCAAAATAAGCAGTAGATTCAGTCTTTTCTGCCCCTTTGCTGTAAATGTATGGTTCTGGACTGATGCATGTACGTGTGCAGTGACCAAAATGAACCTGATTATGGCCTATTCCTATTTTATTGCATAATTGTGTATCTCCAACACAAGAAAACACTGGACGGTTACATTTTTGAAGTCATAAGAATGAAAACCCTATTCATACAAATCTTCTTTGAGAAATGAACATTGAGTATTAAAAGGAAAATATAGAATGGCATTTTAAATTGTTTAGATCTTTAAACATCTTTGAAATGTTTTATATACAATGCAAATACTTACATCAGGACATTCAGTAAAGTATAAAGTATGATCCAAATCTAAATTGTCGAGGGGACATCTTCAATAAGGCCCATTCAAATGTATAGATCATGTTTATAATAATAGTGGGTATATTTACTTAGGAAGAATATCATAATTTCATCATTGTAATAATTGTTTTTATTTCAGATGACCTTCCCAGAAATATGAATTATGACAAGTATAATGTAATTGTGTAGTAGCAGCACTCTGTCACATGGATCTAATGCAGATCCACTGTGTGCATTGGAAGTTTAAGTGTCATGAACAGTTATGGCCAGACTGGTTTCGTTGCCGGATCAGTGCCAGGATGACCGGTCCTGGATACAGTTACCATTACTATGCTTACTGCAGCTCCGACACTGCGGCGGATGAAGACACTGATTGGACGACTTAAAGCCATATGATACTGATATGGGCTTTCATTGTATCATTGTTTCCACCACGAAGCCAAAAAAACAAACTCGCTCATAATTCAACGCTTTACTCTATTCTTAAATAGATTTAGGAGAATATTAACCATGTCTCACAATATTCAGAATTGTGGGTAGTAGTTAGTTGCTACGGTAACAGTGGAGCAAACAGTAGGCGCTGTGGTATGTGTCCCATTATGGTCGTAGTGTGTGGAGAGGAGAGATGAGAGCTTCATGTTCAAACCAGCACCAATCTGCAGCGGCACCAGCCCTGTGTACCCTAAAGGTGTCATTTAGGATTGATTCCCTGGAATTAGCAGAAGTCCAAGTGGAACCATGTGTCTGAAATCTGAACGCCTGATGCTGCCGCCTACTCATCTTCCAGTCAAACTTCAGCTTCATTCTTCTTTTAACTTTCTTTGGAAAAGTACGTATCGACATTGTAAGGCAGTAACATGGCGATAAAGTGACTAAGGTGCGACTTTCTTTGAGTTGATTTCAAAACTGTTAATTTATTTGACAAAAAAGCAAATAAAACGTTTAAATATTTAAATTCATACAAAATATATTGATTTTCCCATTTTTTTAATATTTAGCATTTGTTTTATGGTCTACTCTTGTTGTTTTTTTGTACTTGTCTTGTGCACACTGCAGACTTCTGCAAATGTATTCCAATGTGGGCTCACTGCAAATGGCGAATAAATGAATCTGAATCTAATAAGACAAAAGTGTAAAGAAGCGAGTACTGCCAAATTAAATGACATGTTTTGTGGGAGACTTCTGCCTCCGTAATTCAGACACCCACAGTCTGAATTTAATGTAACAAACTGAGTTTATGATCCAAGGAGAGGCAGGTGCTACAAAAGTATCAATATGTACATTCATAAAAAGTACTTTACTGTATTTTCAGTGTTCAACTCCAGAGGTTAGTTTTAATGAATAAACGGTGAATGATGAACATGAAACATCTGTCTCTAATTCGCGGCCCATCGCCATAGTAACAAGTGTTCGGATTTTAAAATAAAAGTTCATGCCCCATTACCACCGAGCATCCATCACCAGCGTCTGCCGCACGGACACAGCACTACGGCCACTTGGACTTGTTTACTCCCAACGCTCGGAGCCAAACTCTCACAAACACAGAACATGACTGTGGTAGATGCAGTGGAACAGACACATAAATATGTTAAAGTATATATTATAAACATACTGTACAAATTATATGTGATACTCATGATGAACAAATCAAGGCAGAGCACAAACTAATGCAGGGAAACTTATACCAGCGCACAATCCTCTATGAAAAGAGGACTTTTATGTAATACAAATATTTATATAATATTAATATAATAACTATAATATAAATCTAATTCCTCATTCATCCTACAGTGCACAGATTTACTGTTTGCGTGCACAATTGCAAACTAACAAAGTGCACAAAAGAGACGAGTGTTTTGTCGGAGTGTGGTGACAATGAAGACACTAACAGACCTTAACGAGGGGAAGACAGAATATGTCACATGTATGTTCAAGAAACACTGCACACTTTATTTGTAGTCATAAGAATGAAATACCCATTTATATTATCATTATTGAGGAATTAAAATAGTGTATTTAAAGGAAAATACAGCATGGCATTTTAAATAGACTAGATCTTTAATGTTTGTGTTAATGCCCTTTAAAATGTCACAAATCCAAATTAACAATAGTGTTTTATATACAATGCAAATATTTACATCATGGCATTTAGTACACTGCTAAAATGTAGACGTGACATAACATACACACATTTTATTATTAGCTGGGGTTACTCTTTTTTATTTTTATTTAACAAAACTGTCTTTCTTTTACCAACAAAGAGCCCTGTGAGTCACTTTTTGACTCTTTTTGAGCTGAGAGCTAAACACATGTGAAAACCAGAACCAAACAGTATAGTTTTTGTATAGTAATTGTATAGTTATTTTAGGATATAGTTAAATGTGGTTTAAAAGTCAGGTACCCCAGTTAAGAGAAAATAAGAATTAGTTATTGTCCAGTGGAGAACTGCCAGTGTTGCAGCGCACATTACAGAATAAGATCAACACAAACACTAACCCGTGTCTGTAAATGCTTAGAGAATGTCAAACTAAAACATAAATAAACGACATGGGTAAACCAGCATCTAACACCATCTTCTAAAGAACATGAAACGGTGTTGCATTGCGTCTCCATGGAAACACAATCACTTTAATTGAAATGAAATCGCGTTATAAAAATAAAAAAAAGAAGAGAAGATTTGTACCTTTAGCACTTTGCTTAAATGTGTTCTGAAAAAGTCCTCAAATGGAAGTGTGAGCAGCTCTAAAGCGGCGCGGTCCGCAGCGTGTGACATAATGGATGATCCTCGGTCGCCGCCGCTCTCCACCTCACCTCCCCTCCACACGGCCCGGTTTCCTTCCTTGCGTGACTCCAGAGTGTAAACACAAGACCTGTGACTCATCAGTACTTCTCACTTCCACGATCTGATATAAACACATGGAGAGGGCAGGGGTCTCCGGCGTGAGGGGGTGGGGGGTCTGTCTCCTCATAACATCTTCCATTTTGTGCAAGAATTCACACCTTCATGAAGCCAACATCAGTCTGGAAGAGAAGACAAAACCATTTAGGACGATGTCTATCCACAGATTGGTCCCCAGCTGTTGTTTTATTCTAGAAAAAAAAAATCTGCATCAATCTCCTTGTTTTGTTTCTTCTCATCTTGTTCATTTAAAGCTGGGGTACCTAACTTTGGTATAGTAACAAGCTACTAACAATGAAACTACGTATATACTGTATATAGATATGTGTGTAATAAAATCCATCTCGCCTTTTCTACCCCAATACGGTTTTTTCTATCACTAGTTTTTACATGCATATATTTTTGGACTTTGTCACATCTTTTGATCAATTTTTGAGACAGAAAAATGAAAAAGATCGGACCAACTTCAGTCAGTCAATCCTCTCACAGCCCGGAGCGTCATATAGTGACTCACATGGCTCTTTCTTACAAGTATGTAAGGATTAACATGTTTTCTAACAGATGAGGACGGTATATGCTGTGGTCTGATTTGTTCAGAAAAGGTTAATGTCACAAGACTCTTGTAACAGTAAAAATATACACTTTATGATTATAAAAGGTCAGGTATACCCCAGGTTTGTGATCTTCTCAGTTAAGTCAAAGTTATAAAGAGTATTAAAACTCCAAATACAGTCATTACACTGTGTAATGTAATGTGTGTTAGATACGTGTGTGTGTATCTGGTTTAAGTACAGTTTGAGTATTTTAAAACAAAATTTACCAATTTTGGTTGCGATCTATTATCTATTAAAACAAGACCTTTTTGCTTGTCCAATTGGCAACTGTCAAACTGTATGTAATTTTTTTTCAGACACGTTAAAATATTCTAACAATAAATTCCAACACATATATATATATATATATTCAAAGACACAATACTCAAAGGCTTCACAAATGTATACAGTACATATATGTATATATACATACAATGATAACATACAATAGACAGACAATAAAAAGCAGAACAAAGAGAAGCCGAGCTGACAGGTACAAAGATTAAAGGTTAAAGAATAACTAAAAACAATCAGATACAGTTTGTTTGGAAAGATTCTCGTCATGTAAAATTGACATTATTTCATTTCTGACAGTAAATGAAATATAAGTGACAAATATTATTTTCAAATCAATAAAATGAATTAGGAACAATTGTACCAAAGGGCTGGACATTTGTAGGGTTATCTGTCCTGGGTGTGCACAAAACCAACATTTTAAATTATTATGATTTGAGAATTTATTTCATTTGATTTACTAGGATTTCAAAAACAAGAAGGCATGGAACAAATTTTCGGAAGAGTTGAGATTACTTTGACATTCAAGACTGCGAGGTCAATCTAGTCATTTCATTCATCTTTTACATATATATTTGAAGGATGTTGTGCCTAATTATTTATTTGGCATGAAATATAAAAAGCTTGTGTTTGTCCTCTTTTTAGTCGACTCAAGGATCTTAAAGGCACATCTTAGGTCAGCCCTAGAAAAGGTGTTCCAAAATGCCCACCAAACTCCACAAACTAAACAAACTCGTTAGAACTGCTTCTATGTGTTTCAAACATTATACCTGCATGGCGCGAGAGTTGATTATCTTTTCTATTTTAATATATATTATCTCTTATTTGATGTGTGCATATTACTCCATTCATTCTGCAGTAATGTGCGCGACTATGACACTGAGATTTCCCCATCATTTCTGTCTACAGACTACATACTCATGAGTGACATTTTGTATATCTTAACTATAACTATATATTACTTGCTCCATAATCAACGGCATTTTATAATTGCTCAATATATAGCTACAGTCAGGGTTTTTGTACTTAAGTCTTGCTTCTTCATCATGCTAAAGCTGGAGATTTTAAGATTCCTTTCCTTATTATGGAAAAGAAGAGATTTTATACTGTTTTTTAATTCTTTAGAGATTTTATTTTATTTTAGTATTAGTAGTTATTATTCATTTATCTTGTGATGCAGCACTGAAATGTGCACTGTGGGACAAATAAAGTATCTCTTAATCTTCAAAACAAGAGCGATTTTACCCATTTTCTATTCACTGTCAACCTCTAAACAGCACAATGGTATAAGTTTGGACCAGAGCCTTAGTGTGATGCTCTCGGCAGACAAAGAGCAGAGCCTGGATGCCACTGGTCCTGTCAGAGCGGTGGAAACATAAAGGATAAATGGAGTGCCCTCTGCAGTGGAACATCGGCCCTGTCTTTTGTCCCCGCGCACCTCGGCTCTCCTGTCTTTGGGGTCATGTGGGTTGGAGACTGGCAAGCGTGTATGTCACTCGATGCCCAATGCCTGCGATGCTTGGCTTGGACCCCCCTGTGTTCAGGAAATACTCCGGGCCTTTTTCCCACCCCGCTGCAGAGGGCTTGGGCATTACACGCGAATCCAGTTACCATCCCAAAAGCATTCCTCACTGATTCTGACCACTGCATCCCACTGTTCCCACATATAGTCTATTTGGAAAGCTGGAGTTCTGTACTGGTGTCTACTTGTGAAAAACTCGAAACCGTTTATTCCGCAATGAATGGAGGAGTTTGAACTGCTCAACAGATAATTACTGAGCCTTCTACAACCCCCCATCTCCTTATTATGCTGAGAGATAGTTGTAGAAGGGTAAATAGGTATAAGGCTGTGTGAAGAATAAAAATAGCCAAAAATTCATTCCAGACAAAGAGACACACATTGTTGCACAAATGATATCTCGCATTGTGCCCATTGTGGTGCAGTGTTTGGGAATTTCTTAATTGCTTTTTTCCATAGCAAGTTGGCCACAGGAAAATCCCCCTTCAGAGCAGAGACAGAGAAAGATGGTGGGCTGTGCGTAAACACCGTGCCGCTGATGTAAACATGTATGTGCAGTGTAAACCTGTGTGCCATGAGCAATATCAAAGCAGATGACCCACAATGAGCTGGTGGTCCTCTCTTGTTCTTTGACTGCGGTTCCTCTGCATCTTCTATTATGGATGTGTTTTTGCGTCACACTCGTCCAGTAAACCTTGTGAAACCGACTCAAACAGACGTCTCACATCTGAAGATATCGCCGCAGCCTCCGCCCTGATTTAGCCAATGCACAAGATAGCGAAGGGGTCATAAAACACATTTTAAATGCTTATTGCAGCTTGATAAGGGCCTGATGAGTGGGGGCATGCTGAGCTTGTGTAACTAATCCTTTTAGACAATACGTGCTCAAAACTAGGATCATTATACATTTACTTTCAAACACAGTATATTTTGAATATGTGAAACTAAGTTATTTTTCTTCAGATAAATGTAAATTGATAAAATTGTTTCTATTTCTTTTACCTTTTTTCTTGGTGGTTATGGTCTTTTATTTATTTATTTTATTTTCGAGTTTCTATTTAGTTCTCAGGGAAGAAAGTCCCTGAGAACTAAATTGACAATACTTTGGCGAGATGGAATTTCTTCAAGACTGGACGAACCCAAACTGTCCTTCAAGTCAAACTGTGCGGTAACAAAACCAACCAGAAAGAATGTTATGTGTGCTAAAATGTGAAGGCGCGTTCCCGACAGTGGTCACTATGGAGGCAGACAATAAATAAAATAAGAAAGGGGTGGACGCAGACGGGTCATTCTCTTGTTATCATGGCCCTATGGGAGCGGTGCGTGTGAAAGTGCGCAGCGGGATAAGTTTCTCACATACAGACTTTTGACAAGAGTCTTGATGCTGAGATCTAGTTTTGCCTGTAATTGCTTTTTCTGAAAATCGGGCTCAAAACAGGCCTGTCATCCCCAGGCCACAGGCCAACAGTGGCATGACTCCAGCCTCCTCCAAAGGCAGAAGGCCTAATAACATTTGCATCTTCATAGTGGCAGCGGGCCGTTTCCAGAGGAATTAAAAAGCCATCATTCGCTCGTGCCGCAGCTGATTGGATGATCGAGGGCGGTGCCCATCAAAGAGACTTCCAATGTTGGGACGCAGCACACGCAATCAGGGGCCTGCTTACAATCCCATGTCTATTCATTCACATAAACAGCACTTAAAGGAAAATATACACGGCCACCTACAGCGTGTAGAAAGTGATGAGGGGCAGTTTCCCTCCGCTCCACACTGGTTTTAATTAACGCGACATCTAAAGGGATTCAGGGCCACTTAAGGCACCAGCGTTTGTGCTCGCACCTACACTGTCAATGCACGTAACGCTGAAAAAAAATTAAAAAAGATTGTATTTATTAAGTATCTATAGTATATATTTACATGTTTTATTGTCTGAAAACAGGTGATATTGTCAACCCGGCAAATTGTTATTATTACAACCTGGCCGTAGTTATAACATTTTAACCCTTGCTACTAAGTCTATTTGATTTGTTTAGAGCCAAACCTGCAGTGGTCCAGTGTACAGAAGGATCATTTTAGTTAGTATGAGCTGACAACATGTCTATTTTAGGCTATTTATTTTTGATTCAGCAATACGCTAAATTGAATGTGCTTTAAGTGTGTAATAGAAATTATAGAAATTGAAATGAAGCTAAACGTTTACAACTTTTTTATAATTTAATTACCAATATTTAAAAAATAAAAACAGTACTATTTATTTATAGTCAACAGAAGGTTTGATTTTGAAATTTTCTAAATGAGTGACAGAATCTTACCAATAATCCTAATGCCTTATATTCACATTTGTTCAACAACAACAAAACAAAACAAAAAACAGGGCCACGACACATCCCGAAAGGCTCCGAGTGATGCACCTTCAAGTGTCCCGCATTCCTCAGGACGCAGCACTGTCAAATATTTCATCATGAGACGTCATGGAAAAAGCAGAACACGTCTGAGATAAAGGCGTGGGCTTCAAATCCTCAAATCCATTCTATATTTCATCCATATATGAACAAAGTTGATGCAATACTTTTTAGGTAAATTAAAATAGCAACATGTTTAGGCCTATAACCAGCAGCGCGGGTGAAATAAAAGGCTAAGCCTACCGATCTATCAGGCCATGTGAACGTAATATTATTTATACATGTATAGCATTTAGAGCCAAAAAGAGTCCAGGAACGTGCACTCTGAGTGAAGTCATATACGCACTAATGAAAGGCAGTAGGCAGAGGACTGCGCGCGTGCCCCTGGTGCGCACTGGGTGGTCCACTGTTTTCTGATAAATGTCACTCTCTGCGGGCGAATGTCCGACAGTTTAAAGCTTAGCCCAATGTAGATGTATGCAGAATGAGAGAAAAAGATGTGTTTTTGTCTCGTTCACTTGAACTTCATGAACGCTCTCTGATATAGAGCCATGGTTTAATTAACAGCAACAATATTCTGCTCCCCTCGCAACATTCATATTATCGGCAAATGCGTAATATTATTAAATAATAAGAATTTGCCGAGAGGAAAGGTAGTTTAGTTTCTATAGGCTCATGGCTGTTAACACCATTCATAAATAAGTTTTGTCGTGCATAAAAATGAACTCACTTGAGTTTGAGAATCCACGGAGAGGCGCTCCTCGTGGCTCGTCCCAGTCCGAGTTTGAGTGCGCACTTCTCCGGCGAGCTTCACCTCTCCTCCCGCGTCCTGCGTAAATATTATGACTTCATTAAACAAACAATATTCCTGTGCACAAACGAGTCCGGCATATTGTAAAACTGCATACGGACTACATAGTATATCTCAGTCAATCGAGTATTAGTAATCTGAAAGCTTGCTCGGTATTATATTTAAAGAAGGGCAGGCAAACTGTTTAGATTGCCCAGCATAAACATCCTGCCCATGTTCCTGCCTCTCTTCCTTGGAATCATGGGTCTGGAGCATTACCCATTCAATAATCAATGATAGAAGGCTTCATTCGCTGTTTTTATTTTGATTAGAAATTAGGCTATTTTCCAAATCACATGGACAGAAAAGGTGTTGGCGAGAAAAGTAAATTGTTAAATAGACAATATTGTATTCAGGCATTACTCATAAGCATTATTATTTTGTCTGACAGACCAGTGCTATGTATCTTGGATAGCAGATGATAATTTTAAGTACATGGAGGTTAGGGAAAAAAGAATTTGGCTGAAAAGTGAGCTCAGGTTCAGAGGCGCACGCTAACAGCCCACCGCTGGAGGAGGAGGGAATTGGGCGGATCCCAACAAGAGGACGGCCAAGACATCCAGCTCCCAGTGCGCTGATGGCAATAGATAAGTAAAAAACTGAGCTGGTGGGACGCACGACAACATCATAGGTGCAGTGGAAAGAGGCTCCTGTTCTGATACTTTTTCACTTTTGGAATTGTGTTCACACAGAAAGCGGTCACAGGACTCAGTCAAGAAGAAATTGGGATCCTCGATACAGAATTACACGTGCGTAAAACGAAAGAACAGTTTGACATTTTGGATTTGAATCACTTGAACGCGTCCAGGTTGTGGAAGTGGAGTCGTTTTGTTCCCCGTGTCCACCTACCTTTCTGATGACGGCAGAAGTTCAGCAGCCTTCCGCGCAGACTCCTGCCCAGAGCAGCCCCATGTCTGTGCCTGAAAAAAACCACGCTCAAACTGCAGTCATGGAAAGCGCGTCCTCCACCACAAAATCCAAAAAGACGAACGCAGGGGTTCGTAGACCGGAGAAACCTCCGTATTCTTACATCGCTTTGATCGTAATGGCGATACAGAGCTCACCAACCAAACGCCTCACACTTAGCGAAATCTATCAGTTCCTACAGAGCCGCTTCCCGTTTTTCCGAGGCTCATACCAAGGATGGAAGAATTCCGTGCGTCACAATTTGTCTCTGAACGAGTGTTTCATAAAACTACCCAAAGGGCTTGGTCGGCCAGGGAAAGGCCACTATTGGACTATTGACCCAGCCAGTGAGTTCATGTTTGAGGAGGGCTCCTTTAGAAGGAGACCCAGAGGCTTTCGACGTAAATGTCAGGCGCTTAAGCCTATGTACAGCATGATGAACGGCCTGGGTTTCAACCACATCCCGGACTCCTACAACTTCCAGAGCGGCGGAGGGGGGCTGTCCTGCGGCCCCAACAGCCTGTCACTGGACAGTGGCATTGGCATGATGAACGGGCACTTGGGGAACATGGAAGGCATGGGACTGTCCGGTCACTCCATGTCGCATTTGTCAACCAACACTGGACACTCATACATGGGGAATTGTCCGGGATCGACGGGGAGCGAATACTCTCATCACGATAACTCTGCATCTCCTCTGCTCACAAGCGGGGGCATCATGGAGCCGCACCCCGTGTACTCCAGCTCCGCATCGGCCTGGGCGCCCACGCCAACCGCTTCTCTTAATAACGGGGCCTCATACATCAAGCAACAGCCACTGTCTCCATGTAATCCAGGAACAAACTCTCTGCAGCCCAGTTTACCCACTCACTCTCTTGAGCAGCCATACCTGCATCAGAATGGACACGGCGCCACAGACTTGCAAGGTAGGCCTAATACATCAGACACATGGCAGATAATAAACAAATATATTAATAAATCCATGTGAGTTGGGTTAAATCAAGATACTATAAAACAAATGGGGATTTGAGCTCACTCTGCAAGAAAAACATGTGCGCAGTTAGGCTCTGCAGTTAGGCTCTGCAGTTAGGCTCTGCAGTTAGGCTCTGCAGTTAGGCTCTGCAGTTTGGCTCTGCCTTGCCCTGAGGCCCGGACTCCTCCGGGACTCGCGTGCAACTAAGCCTCTGTCAATTAGAGCCTCCCGTGTGCCCCACTGTTCACCGTCCTAATGGGAAAGATTCAACGGATTCTGAGATTACGTAAAGCTGAAATTGCTTTGAGAGGGCTCTTGAAATCTTATCATTTCAGAGCATCAAGTAATCTCAAATGCAAGCGGGTGTTTAAGTAAAACAATTTAGCCATTTCTATTTGTCAGGTTAATTGTCTATATAGTCACACTTTTCCCCTTCGTGCATGAAGACAATGAAGTCATTCAGAAAGCCCTGTGTTGTGTTTACTTCGCGATATCGTTCTAAATTGTAAACTGTTTTTTTTTTTTTTTTGCAGGTATCCCTCGTTACCATTCGCAGTCTCCCAGTATGTGCGACCGAAAAGAGTTCGTGTTCTCCTTTAACGCCATGACCTCCTCCGCTATGCACTCCCCGAGCAGCGGCTCCTACTACCACCACCAGCAGGTCTCCTACCAGGACATCAAACCGTGCGTAATGTGATCCACGACCTGCACGCAGACTGTACAAGTGTCTCGCAAACGCCGCTGAAGCACGGCCCGCGGGGTAGCACGGACTACACGGCTTAACGCACGGCCAAAGCAAAGACGCAGCCGTCCAATGTTGTAATAATAAGATATAAAAATAATAATATTGTAATGATCCTTGACTTCAGCGGGCAGAAAGCGTTTTCCTTGCTGCTGTTTTGGTACCAAGTTCTACAGAGTGCAAAACTAGCTCTGCGCATTTTCAAGTGTAAATGTCTGTTTTCTTTTTATACTAGGATGTATTTTATCGTAACATTTTTAAATGCAAACTCTCGAGGAGTTCACTATTGGACGCCACATAACGTTGTATGTACAGACTGTGTACAGATTATGAAGGCACTTTCTAGTAACCGATGAACGCGAATTATTTATTCTGGGCCTGCGTGTTTTAATTAGAATTGCAACGGTTTATTGGCAATATTTGTCAGAACACGCAAACTTGTTAATACTGAAAATTAAGTATATATTGTAAGCACTGTTTTTTTTGTGGTAAATATTATGTAGTCAACTTCCTTACAGCACTGTAATAGAACATAGTAAATGGGGTCTAATGCGAGGACCCAGGCTTTATATGATTCATCAAGAATAAAATACTGGGCTGTTGAAGTCCAAATCCACCAATTCAGCAGTCATTGTCGCACTTTGTTGTATTATAGGAAGAATGCAGGTTTACACTGTAAATGCTAATAACAAGTTAAGTGTATATTTGGATTCATTATAATTTTGTTATACTTGAAATTAAGAAAACATACAAGTTTAAATGAGAACAGTATATTTATAGGCTTAAATTTAAAATTATACAATGTACCATTGCCAAATCTTATTTTGTGTCCTGTAAACCATTTTGCCAAGTACAATTTTTTTTGAGAAGCTCAAGTTATTTTTTGTCAACTGAAGAAAATAGCTGCATTGCCAAATTCTCGCCTTCAGGAAAAGGATGACTTACACTATCCCTTAATACTAGAAAATACAATAAGTTTATTATCCTCAATTTGTTCCATGCCAAGAAGCCACTATGGGAGTGTGCAGGGATTTTGTGATGGTAGTATTTTGGGTCCCTGCTTCCATAAGTACATTGGTGTTTGATGCATACGGCATTACTCTCCATGACATGACCACAACGTGAACTCCAGTAAAATGCCACTGAGACAGAATGGCAGCCTGATCTGAACGAGCCTTGGACATTAGTGAGAGCGGCAGGACGCTGCACAGCTGTTCAGCCATGGTCCTCACTGACAGACCTACATACAGACCCAGTCTCTTAATGCAGACACGCTGCAGCACGAATAAAGAGAAAGGTCCATTTAAAAATGTAAAAACAACAGGAAAGACACAGACAGCTTTAGTAATGTCCACAAATGTATATATTTTAGCATAAGTTAGCAAAACAAAACTACTTTACAAAATGTAAGCTGTATTTCTTTCATGGCCTTTCCAAACTCATACTTTACTGAAAATAAAGTAACCTCCAGTTGGCAAACTTGCGTTACACAGTATTGTATTTGCAGATAATCGATTACGATGTTCAGCCATTTTCACTTTCATTACAATAGGCCTAGAAAGCTTTTAACGAACAATAATACAAACTAAATTCATTTAACTCTTTCAACATAAAATTCTGTGGATCTAAAATAGTAAATGTGTGGATTCATTCATTATTAATGTCCAAGCTGGGATTTTGTTCTTCAGCATTGGGAGCTTCAGCTTCCTGTTGAGCTGGTTTGTTCTGGCGGGGTGGTCTCCAGGTTTTTCGTTGGCTCTTGGCCAGCTCCACCTGCAGCTCACAGCCGTTCACAGTGAGGTCCTGCAGGGCTGAGAGGGCCTGGTCAGCCGCCTGGGGGTCAGTGTAGTCCAGGAAGGCCCTGTGCAGAGCTCCCTGCCAGGTGAGCCTGAGTGGGACAGCAGCCTTCTCTCTGAGCATCGTCTTCAACTCACTCACACGCAGCTCGGGCGGGATGCCTCCAACATACAGACTGGTTGCCGTGTCTGGGATCTTTGAGCGAGACCACTCTTCTGAAACCTTTTGCCTCCGTGGACCAACAGCAGTTATTGGGCACTCTTCCTGATTATCTCCTGAGCCATCTGCCTTTTCTTTTCTCACTCTGGGTCTTCGTGGTCTGCTCTGCTGAGACGGTTCCCCCGGCTCATGTTTGGATTCCTCCTCCACATTTTTAAGGGTGTTCTTTCTTGGCCTCCTTGTGGCTGGATATTTGGCCCCACTGGCCTCAGCTTTAGTGGGGACCATCCCCAGAGTAACGTCCTTCCCCATCTCTTCCTCAAGACCACGCAGGGTCTTTAAAATGGGTATCTTCTCCAACTTGTCAGTGTCCAGCTGCACACAAGAAACAAATGCTGAATATCAAAAACTTCAATAAGAACTGTCCATCTTTACAGCAGCGCAGGACATTTCACTTCCTGAAAGGTTAAAAATAAAGGCTCCTGTTTTGATTTGTTATGTCTTGAAGTGCTTTGGCAGTCTTTGATAGTGAGCTGTGGTGTAAAGGATATGCAGGACTATTGTTCCAGCAGTGACCTGTCGCTCCCCTGCCCCTGAGAGTCTCGCTGGCTGGGCAGAGGATCCTTTGATGCTCAGACATGGCCTTCCTGTCTGACAGTTCACTGGGTCCTGTTTACCAAATGTCTCAAGACACTAGTGCTTGAATCTATACGAACTATATGCCACATTGTGAAGTTTGGGCACAGTCTATTCCAGTCTCTTAAATTGATTTAACACTTGAGAACATGTTCTCTAGACGAGTTATAACAATCAGTTGTTTTATGAATTTTATGCATTTTTCTATTTATTCTGCAGTAATTACATCTCTGTTGGGAGTAAGAAAACGTCAAAGTATGCAGAAATTTGTTAGCAAAAAACAATGTATTGATTCCTAGAATTAGTTGACAATTTAATTGATTCACTTGTTACGCAAAGTTTAAAAATATATTCTGAAACATAATAATTTATACATTGATATAATTAGGGTCTAACTTTGGAAAGACTTTCAGTATTACAACAGGTGTTCTCCATACTGTAAAACACTCGTTTCAAGAAGGCGTGATTGGAAAGCTTCTATGTTGCCAGTAGAGGGCAGTGTTTCATCGTGTACGATGCATGCAATGGTAGACTCATTTCCACACTCCTAAGTACAATTGCCTTTCTGAATGCTACCAGACTCTGCATGGCGTAACAAACGAGCAAATAATGTTCTAAATAACAAATCAACTTTATAACAATATATTGTTCACAATTCCTGGGGGTGACTGAAGAACCCGGAGCAGAGTTTGAGACGCAGTTATAGGTTTGTCGTATTCTTCTGAACAATCAGATTCCCCACGTACCTTGGACCAGATGATCCCTTGTGGTTTTGGGCGCTGACAGTTAGTTTTGATAACTCTGGTGGGTGTAAGGATGTAGTCCACAGTCAAATCATGGTTCTCAATGAGGCTCTCTGGAATTTCCACCACCTACACATTGAAATTTGAAATTCAGTTGAAATATATATATTAAGACAAAGATGTAGGACAAGCTGCACATTAAACTGACCTGGCAGTCATGCACAATTGTAACCACCACAGTAGACTCAGTAACTGCCCCCATCGAGGCCATCATGCCATACTCCATGTCAGCAAATCCCTCTCCTTTTCCAATGCGAAGACCTAGGGTTGAGACAGAAGTTCCCTTTTACCTGTAGTAAACAATGAGTTCTTGTGTGATATATATAATCCATCCATCCATTTTCTACCCTTTAATCCATTTCTGGTCAGGGGTGCAGTCAGAGATGCCACCCATGTCTCATACACCAGCGCCCTCACTGACCCCTGCAGTGTAGAGTCCACAGAGACGCTGCTCTGATGTGCATAGCCTTGATCTTTCATGGGGCTTTGGCAAAGTGGTTAGAGTCTTGCCCAAGACACAACGACAGCAGTCATCAGTGTAGTCGGTGGAGAAGTGCAGAGGTGGAAGTTGAACCCAACACCTTCTGCCTTAAGCCAATGCGGATAAATATATATAATACATATATATATATATATATATATACACACACACATATGATTTAGATGTGAATGTATAATTTGAACAAAGCAAATATATATCATTTTCAGAAAACAATTATTGAAAAAAGGATCTCAAAAGAGCGAGAAATTGTGGTAACAAGCTGAGGGGAAAAAATATAAATTTTAGATACACATTTTACACACAATGAGCAAATGGAGAGGTAGAGGCACATGATCCAGTTCCTTATCCTAAAGTTTGTTTTGTTTTTCCCTGAAAAAAGGCTATTTCAGCGCCCAGGTTGCTTCTGTATTTCTTCAGTAGGTTTAACAAGATTGCTGCAGGTAATGGATGCAACTTTAATAACACTCAAGATATGTCTAAATGGTTCAATCCAGTTCTCTGCCACTACACAACAATGCATTTGTGCCGTGTTACCACACATATCTTTAACATGAAACACATACATTACGGTACTCTTGAACATTTGTGTGGTGCGTTGCATAGACAAACCCCTAAATCACTATTATATTTCATTCCAGGAATTTCCAGGTCACCTCCCAGAGTCCAGCATTGGTTATCCTGGGGATTTGACAATTGCAGATCAAAATGTCTCGTGCAGAAAGGCTTTTCAAATGGAGAGCAGGCTGCAGCATAAGCCACAACAAGCACGATGCCTCTGATTACATTGAGCCCCGACTCTCATTTCTGCTGCTGCTGCTCCAGTAGGCAGCTTGTGCCAGTAAACATATTTAACAACTTACAAGACTATAGTAACATTTACCCTCTGTCTCTTGTCATTTGTAGCTGTAATAAACAGCCATTATGGTATACAGTTTCCAAACATCTAAACAGTGGGTTGGTCTTGTGAGTCTGATAAAAGGTCTACAAGCTTTTAATTTTGCGTCTGAAACCCCAGGTTTAGTGTTTTAGAGTTGATTAATGTTATGACTTCAGTAAAACTCCTAAAAACAGGGGGCAGATATAATCCTATAGATAAGTGAAATTAAGCACTTTTTTATTTCAATGTAATAATGCATCGGTGTTATGGACACTCAGAATTGATTGATTAATTCACTGTACACAGTGGTGGTAAACTACTACAGTAGCCACAGCTGCCCTGACTAACACACGCAACTTTTTAATTGTGATCACCTTGTTCAGACACCGCAACAGAGCCAACCACCACCAGGTCGACCTTGACTTTATCGTCCAGTCCCACCGGCACACTGAAGTCCTTCACACCCTACAACAAACATCAAGGAGTTTCAAATTGTTCTGTCTTCACATGGCAGATGTACGTGTTACAGTATGACATGACACACCTGTGAACTAGCGCATATATGAAGTACTTTTTTTGTGGCTTGTGGAGGAGGGATGATCCTGTTAAATAGGCCTGACCGCAGGCGAGGAGTAGGAACCAATAATGTTTTCTGTGCCTAAGAAGATTATGGAGAAATAAAAAGATAAAAATGGAACAATTATATGCAGCATGCAGTAAAAATATTCTTTAAAATGGTGAAATAGTGTCATGACAGAAGCAGAGGGAGCTCGGACAAAAAGTAGACAAAATCCCCTTAAAGTAATTTTTGTAGCAATTTTATGCAATCCAAGGTCAAGCAGAGAGTATGTCAAGAACAAAGAAGGCGGATGTTCTATCTGGGTACCATGTTTTTCACACTAGAGTATAAGACACTAGAGTAGTTTTTAGGGGGAATTTATTTGATAAAATCCAACACAAAAGAATAGACATTTCATTCTGAAAGGCAATTTAAAATAAAAATAGAACAGAGAGAAAACTGTACGTTATATGACGCTTAAAAAACCAAGTGCCTGGTATATTTATGCTACATTTTATGTTTGGAGTCCTTCAAATAACTCTAGCATATAGAACCTGCTACAAGTTTACCAAAGAATCACCTCAACTTAATAGCCCCAGATATTATGTGATATTTTACGGTAAATACAGTTTATTTTTTAATAATTTCATATAAACGTTGCACTCCCGGCCAAACTAGGAAAAAAACTGACTTAATACGGTACATGCAGATGCTGCACGCTTTCAGAAGACCAGCAACAGAAGAATCACCATTTTGTCAAATCAGAATATTATAGCAAGGTGAGATCGATATGTTTTCCAAGACTTCAATAAACTCTCCTTTTAATTAGAAAACAAATAGCGATTGTTTTCTCGAGACACAAATATTTCACATTGGAATACATGAGACATCTTTATGTAGTTCATACTGAGGGGGCCCTCTAGTGGTTTAGTCCCAGAGGCTATTCTGGACCCGGGACTAAACCAGTGTTGCAACCCTTTGTGCACAGCCTGACACTCAACCACGTTGTAAGCAGGACTACAATTTATAATCAAAGAACGACTTTGAAAATCTTATTAAAAAAACCAATCTGTTCTATGGTTACTGGAGACTTGACACAAAAGTGACACAAAAATGAGATCCAGAGATAAAAAAACTGCTAGATCAGTCTATGAAACAAACTGTCATATATACACTTCAACACATAAGGAGCCCATGGCCATTCTACAGTATATATACAATCACATGCAACAAATAAAGAAAGCATACAGTACACATGTAAAACCTGCATTTCATTTCTGTTGACTGAAGATATCAGTTCTAGCTCCAAACCTGCAATATGAGCAGACGGGCCTCCTCCAGAGGCTTGTCAGGGTCCACCTTTACCTCTTCTGCATTTGTGAACTCTTGTAGTTCAGATACTTTAGCACAGGCCGTGGAGGCACCCTAAGCAAGAAAACAAAACATGTTTGCAACTTACTTCCAGTGTGAGGAAGCGTGCTCGCTCCTGTGGTCGGTCTGGGTTAACTTTGATCGTTTGGCTGGACTTGAACTCCTGCAGTTCTGTGAGCTTATTGCAGGCCTGAACGGCAGCCTGCCCATAATAACAGGAGGTCATTAAACAGTGGTAAACAGCAATTCTCCTTTCAGGGGTAACAAGTGCATCGCACCATTTAGTTACAGAATACTGATTACCCATTTTAAACCTGGGATTTTGTAGCATGTTCCATTATAAGACAGTACAGCATTCTGAATACCACTACCCTCATTTTCTTATTATAATGAATAATGCATCATAGGAAATAAATTTGATTCTGAAAGGATAAAAGACATAACTACTAAAGGTTTTCATTTATTTTCTGCAATATCCTGCCTAAAGAGCATCAATAAAACAATGTATTCTGTCATCCTTTTAAACCTTCGGCTCATTAGGGTCTAAAAGGGTCTAATGACCCAGGGCTGGTGAAGTTAGGAAAAATCCTCAAAATTAGGCTAATATATAATATATATATTAGTTAGGTCCATTTTCTAGCCCTTGAGCTATCCTCACCACAGTGATTAAAAGTAGAAGAAAAATCCCCTACAATAGGGTCTAAATGACCCAGGACTGGTCAAGTTAGGAAAAAAATCAAAGTTCAGCTGAAAAAAAATAAAATAGGTTTTTGTTTTTTTTTTATAATCACTGTAGCTGGTCAATTGACTCGAGTTGACAAGGGTTAAATAGAGTTAACAGTATTCTGAATATCACCACAGGCTACATTCTGAATACGTTTTCCCACTACTCCAATATATTGGAGAATTCTCAAAGAACAATTTATTCAAACTACTATGCAAGCGAAAAGTCTATACACTACAGTCTATATCCTAAACTACTGATGAACCTGTGTTAATTATGGATTCAACAGATTACTTGCATTTGAGTTGACGTTTGCCCATATTGGAACACTCAATTGTAATTGGCTCGGGTACTGTTTAAAATAAAACTCTACACCGATCATGTTGAGGGCTAATACAAGAGTTTGTGTCTAAAAAGACACAAACTCTTGTATTAGTAACTTTGCACTGACAGTTGCATGGTTGAGGCACTAGAATTGAAATGGAAAACCTTGAAATTTGGGATTCTGTTGTAAACGGGTCTTGGAAAATTTGCCAGATTGTTTTCTTCGATGTAGTGCCAAACCCTCTGACGAATATCTTCTTTAGTTGCGTCTGTGTGAGAGAAAGCAGCGTAAGCATGACTGTTTTACACATGAAGACTGTAATATTCACCTGAATGAGTATTGACCACTGGCTCCATCTCAGCGGCAGTTTGAGCTCCACGTGCACTGCGCACTCAACAGCTGCTTGTCAGTTTGTCATTACTACGGCAGCGCGCACAGGTCAAAACAGTCAAACCGCGTTTAATATTTCAAGGACTAGCATGCAAAGCAGACGCATTCAAACGATAATTTGGCGAGTTACCGGATTTTAAGCTCATTACTAATAATGTCAAATTACCGAACAGATCTTACCTATAGCACATTCTCTCTATAGTTCTATAGTCCGCCGCAAGAGGGCGAGCTTCAGCCTTCGTCCTGCACCGAGTGTAGTGATGGGAATGATCCTGCATCAGTCTGCTCCCTCTCTCTGTCTGAACAAGTGCCCCACGCAGCTCTGGAGGAGACCAGACCAAATGCGCTTGAGGTTAGCCGGTTCATTTTGAAGACACATTCAAAACCGAGGAAGATGGAAAGACTGATTTAGCAGAGAATCTGTTGTTCCAGAGACCACCCGGCACGCGCCCCACCCATCCCTGTCTGGCCTCGTCTCGTCCCGGCTCTGTTCTCTCTGATGCCGCTCAAGTGAACAACAGACGCTTGTGGCTGGGCTGCATGGAGGCGCAGGGAGGGGCTGGAAGCCCAGGTATGATTCATTGTTATACTACCATGTAGATTAGGGTTGTAGTTTGTTTCATGAAAAACATTTCTTTTTAGGTATAATTGCAATCACATGGATCTTGGGGGGTGTCATTTCATTGTTGACCACCACTTGGGCTAAAAATACCAATAGGCCATGTTAATTTATGCTTTTTAGTGAAAAAAGTTTCAAGGCACACAGGGCCTTTGAGTCAGGGCTGAAGGAATTGATTTATGTTCTGCAGAAGTATTCGTGGGCTGTGCTGTGTTAATAAGAATAGGACCTGTATTGCTTTAACAGTATGTCTTAGTGTACCATTAGCCCTTATTAAGTTACACTTGCAGCCATCTAGTAATCAATGAATGTTGCCTTCTTCTGATATTGTTAGGCAGTTAACTATTATTTTCATATTGGCCTGGCCAGCAGTCCTGTCACCTGTTACAGTACATACACGTGACACCTCAGTGAGCTGTTTTTTAAATGTTTCTAATGCTGCTTAAGCTCAGATTGGTGCCCTTTTAAAATAACTGAAAAAAATGTAGGCCTATGAAGAGTATTAGATTATTTTTGTATTAGGGTCTACATTTACTTGCAATGGTTTCCAGAGCCAAACAAAGACATTCAGAAGTTGTTGAAGCCATCCAGCTCTGCAGACCTCTGCAGGGATCTGTTCCAGCCTCCTGTAGCTGAAGAGGAAGGCGCTTTGTCAGGGCACACGTCTGCCAGTCTGCTGCACATCGCTGAGCGGAGACGCGAGTCCCGGGGTGAGACAAACAAACACATTAAGAGAACATCAAAGACATTGATTTGACCAGAAGTGTTGTCTTCTGGTGGATTCAGTCTCAGATAAACATACAAACTATTTCTCTCAGAAATGTATCTTGAGACTCAAGCATAACATTGGTTCAACATCTCGTCATCCACAGCATTTGCGTGCTCAGATTTGGCTGTTAATACTCAGACGATCTGATTGTATTGAGTCCCCACAGTGAGCTGCTTGTATGGGCCAAAAGCACTGACACAAGAGAGACAGATATGGGCGACAAGACAGGACACACAAAAATTCCATGATTGTAAAAGCTTTATCTATACTAATCTATTTATATTGCTCAAAATCCCAACAGCAGTGAAGGATGTCACAGACAAATTGTATATTTTCCAACCGATTAGCAAATAAAAAACAGTACGAAATACAGTAAGAAAACACAAAAGAATCATTGTTTCTTAATCGGGTTAAATAATAATTAATGTCCATGAAATGTCCAAACAAATCCTCCAAGCATTTCATCCGCTGCCATTGTTTCTCCTAGTTTGCCTTTGAAAGGGAAAAAATACTTGATCAATTATTCAAAGCTGTGGAGAAAGGGGTGTGGATGAAGAGAGAGGAAGTGCTGAAGACGGCACTACAGAAAGGTTATAACTGTGAACCAAATTTAAACACATCTGTGAAACATGATGTTGAATTTCTCTATCTATAACTATTCATCTTGCCTGTTCATAATCACAGCGAACGGTGGAGTGTAATGCCACCTCAATCTAATTATACGGGCAGAAAGGTCAAGGACTTAGTGAATATTTATGAATGTCAAATGTGCACAGGGCAGTAGAGGTTAACTGTTGCATACCCCTTGGACAATACTGATAAAATCACCATGAGATAAGTTGGTTCATGTGAATAGTATACATTCTAGGAAGTAAGTAAGTAATCTTTATTCATATAGTCGTATACTTTCTGTTCGGCTTAAGTATAAATCATACATAGATATTGCTTTTTTTCTTTCACTCTAAACCAATGTCTATTCAATAGGTTTCGTGCTTCAAGATCAAAAGTAATGTGGCTAAAACGGTGACTAGTTGTTCTGATCTTTTTCCCATTACAAATATAGAAAAACACATGTATTGATACATAATGCGGATGCTATCACAATGTGGCAATTCCAATATAATGTAAGTAAGTAATGTTTATTCATATAGCGCATTTTACTGACCAAGGTCACCCAATTCGCTTTACAATGTTCAGAGAGTTCAGATATCTTTCCATTCACTCTACACACAGGGATGACGGAAGCGAGACACACTGGTGTATCATAGCCCCCAATCAACACCTTCCATTCACTCATTCATTCATACCATGGATCTATTATAATAACCTATACCTATTGTACATGTTTTTAGTGGTAGGGGAAACCGGAGCACCCAGAGGAAACATGCAAACTCCACACAGAAAGGCCTGGAGATGGAATCAAACCCAGGACTTTCTTGCTGTGAAACACAAGTTTTAACTGCTGTGCCACTGTACGGATGATATATCATTCAGCATTTGCACTAGCATTGGTTATACAAGTTATATAAGGTATATAAGGTTGTTGGAGCATCTATCAACCACCTTTTGCTATCACCCGCCATCTTGTTTCACAACTACCGCCCAGAGCCACTCTTTAGGGAAGACTAAAAACAGGATGTATAGTGATCTTTTATTGAATGAAAATATCCATACTCGCCAGTAGCACATTGTGTATTGACTTTAAGACGAGACATTGTGATATTATTCCATATCAATATTGTGGCACAGCCATAGCATCAAACACATAGACTGTGTTAGGGGACATATCTGGATTTACAAAAATGGAGCTTTCGCGAAAGTTCACTGTGGTAGACCCGGCTGCTGCGGCCCAGGCCACAGGCTGCTCTTCCGCGGCTCATCACACCAGCAAAGGCCACATCCAGTCAACCAATAACCACCAGGACAGCAAGTTAAAAGCCGGAGACGCCCACTTCCCGGCCTTCTGAAGTCTGCAAGCCTCCGCCGCCCCACCTCCTCCTTCTCTCATCGAAGCGTGCTTGCCTACTGCCTCTGCCGCCACCAGTGCCTAGGCCCCGGGGGGATTATGCACGCGAGCAAGTGCCGTGCTCAACAGCATCCCTCCCGGGCCTAGGGCGCCAAACATGCTCAATCTAATAAACATGCTTAAATCTAATAACTCTAACGGCATTTTCCTTATGGGTCTCTCCAAGGTGAAGTATGATCATAACATGGATTCTAAATTTCTAGGATCATAAATAGTTGCAATCCACAGATTATTAAACCAAGAGTGTGACACAAACCAAGTGAATAGAAGCCAGAGCGAGATAGAGCAAACATTTGTCCATGAGCACATTGGGATCATTACCAATACTCAATTCAGCACAAAAGGTGAACCCATCCAGTGTGTTTATGAATATCCAAAAGTGACAAGTTTTAAATGACTCCCTGTTTGGTGCTAAGATATGATGATGCTGCCTAAAAGTTGAGTAACCGCTGTGATAGGCTTTAACATGAATTCTGTCTGTCTCCAGAGCCTCTGAGCAGCGTGTCGTCATTGGAGGTCCACTTTGACCTCTTGGATCTGACAGAGTTGACTGACATGTCTGACCAAGAGTTAGCAGAGGTTTTTGTTGACTCTGACGAAGAAAACCACAACGAGTCATCAGCAGGTTAGACACACATTCATATAAACTATTATCTTTTGTTTAAAATGCAGTGAGCTTTAATTGTATTCATACTTATGGGATTTTACATGCTGTGACATGCAATTTTTTTATCCTTTATCGTTGATGATTATACCAATGATTAGATTTGGTTAATCATTGGTATATCATTGGTTAAAAAAAAACTATAAAGCTTTGATGTCACATTATTACACCGAGACAAAGCCAGTCCAGTTGATGCTGTGTCAAATATCAAAAAGCGGAGACCCTCAGACAACATACCTATTAGTATTCGAATGAGTGCACTCTATTGGCCAACACTCGCTTTTGTCATGCCCTTAAAATTGCAATAGGAAGCAGAAATTTCCTAATGTTTTATTTATGAAAAAACTAGCTATGCAGTAAATCAAATGTGCGCTTCATGCAAAGGACGGGTTAACAAAATCCTTTTCGAGTCCAAAGACAGACCATACATGCATTTACTGTTATCTGTCTTTCCAATGATTACCTTATGCTCTTTCATGTGTTAAACCTCAGATTACATATTGAGAAATATCTACACTTTTCAACCCCTGTTTGTATTTAGTTTGTATAACTATGTTCTAATCCTAGCGATCCAATCCAATATACAGTATCAACTTTCCCCCGGAAACTGATTATTTAAACATTTTCCAGTGAGATGAAAAGAATTGTCTTGTGCCTGAAAGTCACAAATGTCTAGAGGGTACTGTTTCTTTCTTTTCCCTCGATAACTGATTGAATTGATTTATTATAATTATTTATCCATCCATCCATCCATCCATTTTCTTCCCCTTAATCCATTTCTGGGTCGGGGGGGTGGCAGTCAGAGCTGCACCCAGTACACATAGCACCAGCCCCTCTCTGATCCCTCCTGCAGGTGGTGAGTTCACAGGAGCTGAGATCTGATATCAGCGGGGGCTTCAGGCAAAGTGGGGTTAAGTGTCTTGCCCAAGGACACAACGACAGCAGTCATCAGTGGGAGTTGGGAAGTAGGTCTTGAGGTGAGCTCAAACCCACGACCTTCAGGCCCAAAGGCCAATGCTCTACCAACTGAGCTACTGTCGCCCATATTTGTTTATATGAAGTTAATGTCACTTGTGAATATGAATGTTTTATAGTTTAAACCGTTCTCCATGGATAATCAGAATCAGAATCATTTTTATTGCCACGTAAGTAACAGGAAGTCACAGACTTTGAAATTGCTTTGGCTCAGTGCAACAGTCAGACCATAATACCACATTCATTCCTGTTTTCATTTCACCATGACAACAAATAAAAGCCTCCTCCTTATCTCCTTTGAGCAAAAAAAAACCCAGCTACAGATGAACATGAAATACCTGGTGTCTTTACTCTATCCAAACCTCAGAGGCGTCCTACACAGACATGTGCTAAAAGTTATGTTTTGTCAGCCATATAATATCAGGCGGGCCGCTGCTTCCTTTCCATGAGCTCACACTGACACTCTGCAGCAGAAGGACGAGGGAGAAACACATTTATGAGAAAGCTGCTTATTTTATATTTGATGAACTAATGACTATTACATTAAAGTGTTAAACCAACCAAAGCGCAAGGTGGTGTAGCATCTGAGTCTATGGCAGCATCACAGAGTCTGTGCCGTTTCATACAGCGGTGGATATGGCCCCTATTGCCATCATTGAAGAACGCAGTTTCGCAGTGGTTTCCGGGATCAGGGTAAGGGGCTGGGGTGGGGGCGGAGCACATGGAGCAGAGGGCATGGTCACTAACACTCGCTGCGGCCCTAACACAGCTGATGTGATATGAACAGGTGGAAAACACATTAACCCAAAGATATATCACGAGTTTTTACAATTAGTCATTTCATCATTCATCGATAACTCAATGATGGGCAGGAAGTGTATGTCCTGTCAGCATTATGCATTACAAGTGCAAACTATTATACATTTTATATTTAGATTTGTAAATGATATAATTGATAATAACAGTAATCATGATGAATAATACATAAACTTGCATACATATGATCATAATAAGATATAAACTTCCTCCCACACAAGAGAAAGGTCTTTGTGCACTCAATGAACGGTGTAGCTATAAAGTGTTACACGTTTATAACTGTGTTTACTGTTTGTCTTTGAGAGATGTATTATTATGCAGGAAAGGCCACAGACTGGTGAGTTTAATGGCCGGGTGCCAGCTGCGCAGAAGGAGCTCACACTGACACTCTGCAGCAGAAGGACGAGGGAGAAACACATCTATGAAAAAGCTGCTATTTTATCAGATTCACTTATTTTTTTATGACCAATACATTAGTGTTAAACCAAATACACAAATGTGATGCTAAAACCATTTGATATGATTCACATGCACAGTGTAATGTACTTGAACTGTTTACTTGAACTACTTCTGTTTATACCAAGGTTGTGACCTGACAATTAAGTTACAGTTAAGTACAGTAATTAATCTATATTTACAGGTGAGAAAATGCATAATTTATCTCTGTTATACGACTTAAAATATTAAACTATTGTATGATATTGGCTCATGGCCGGCAACCTGACATATGTCAAGCCATTGTTTGTTTTACTTTGGTTAAGATAAGATAATACTCTTTTATTGTCTGCCATAGGAGATATTTGTCTTGGGACAGGGGTTCACATGCTTTACACCACACTAGGTTATTAGGACTTACAGTTTCAGATCATCCATGCCACACTGCATTAAGCAGGAATTTCGGAAAGACCCCTTTCGGACCGGGATTCGAACCCAGGACCTTCTTGCTGAGAGGCGAGAGTGCTATCCACTCAGCCAACGTGTCGTGTTTATATTGATATCATACAATATTATGATTTTCTGAGGTTTCGATTTTTTTTTCAAGCTACAATCAAAGAAATAATCATACAATCTACAATCTTGTAGCTACAAAGCTACAATCCAGATTCAAACAATCATATGTCACTTAACTTGCCATGAGTCTATCATATTATTTGGTTAAAGTTTTAAGTTGTATTACAGATTTTCATGATATTGTGATTTTCTGAGTTTCATCTGTATAGAGCACACTTCACAGACCATGGTCACACAATGTTTATGTACACATAAACAGTGTGTACACTGTTTATGTAGTTTCTCATTCGCTCTACACATCTTTAAAATACCCCCTGTAATACTCTAGTGTACCCCTAGAGGTCTGTATATTCCCGGTTGGAAAGCAGACGGGTAACCCCTGTCTGGAGTCACAGTCTATGGTCAGAAGTAGTGGGTGCAATGCCCAGACCACTCCCCAGATGTTGATGCTCAGCCTGGCGAGGAATGTGACTTTTGGTGGAGGATTTGACCTATAGTGCATGTTAACCCATCCACATACAAGGGGAAACACTCAAAATATACAGTACTTGTGTATCTTACACAGTGTATGTCATCTCAATAGTATTAGGATGTTTGTGCGTACCATTTGTTTCATCTTAGTGCTTGATGTGTTATTATAAATATCTATATTATATTATAAATATTATTATAATTGTAATGGTAATGTGTATCACCAAATGTTATTTTAATGTGTATGGTGTCTTGTCAGGGTCCCAGCAGCCTGTGTTGAAGACTGGGTACATGCGCTCCCCCTCCTGGACACGCTGTAACAAGGCAGAGACTCAGAGGGAGAGGAAACACCACAGTGACTCGGACACCATGGAGCCCTTCATGAAGCTGGAGCGCTCCAAACATCCCTGAAAATACAAACAAGACAAACGGACCACACACTTCCTGGTGCTAAACCCGTTCAGGCCTAACTCTGAACACTGTGCTTTTCTCATTATGAGATGTGCAATACTACTTCCTTAGTATGCAAGTTTTAGTGAGGGTTTGATATGTTTCCGCTATGACAGGGTATTGTTACATCAAGACAAATAGAACACAGAAACATAGTCCACACAGTAACACAGACTTAATCCACATGAACTCATTATAGGTGTCATTGTACACACCAGTACTGACACTTGTAATAGCATATTGCACTTCTAACATTACAAACACGTTACTTATTAAGAATACTTGAAGTTGGTAATTTTGACTTGCACTGCAACAAGAGACTGGATTATAAGAATGCCAAAAACTACAATTAAAGTGCCAATATTTTCCAGTTAATTTAATAATCAATGCCAATAATTCAAAAGGCTGTATGCAACATGGATAAAGACTGGGAAAAGTGGGAGGTCAATAAACATCTTAAAAATGTGTGTAATTAAAAAGTATTTTTTCCTGTATAAACTGTAATACACCACAGTGAGACTGAAACATGCAGCAGTCATTCTTGCGATGGAGCAGATTGATCTGTTACTTTTGATCAGCAGTTTTATCTATGCCTTCAGTCACCAGTGTGGTCACTCATATTGCTCATTGTTCATTTTTTTTAAACACACAGACATTTATGCTTCTTTCACGTTTCGGTTGTCTTCTATCAAGTCTTTTTCAAACAAGGAGTTTTCTTTAAATGGCCGAGGTCCCAGCAGCTCAACCAGGTCGGACCTGTGCAAGGATTCCTTTTCAAGAAGTCGTTTGGCGACCTGCATCAAGTTCAAGATAAAGTGAGTGTTATTCTCGAGTTCTCTTGAGCACAGGTCTGCACTCACCAGGGACACGGCTTGTCTCTTCTCAGTGACAAGCTTCAGTGTGTGTTTGTGGGCTGCGGCCACGAGTACACGGACCTCCTCGTCTATGAGTCGAGCTGTGGGCTCTCCGAAAGACTTCTCCAGAACAATGCTTCCAGCGTGAGGCAGATCAAAAGACATCGGGCCAAATGCCTCACTCATTCCAAATTGTGTAACCTGAAATAAAAAGCAACTGCAGAATGTAATCCAAAGTGGCCTGTATTATCACAGAGATGAAGTGCAGTGTAAGGCCAACCTGCGCATAAGCAGACTGCGTGACTTTCCTGAGGTCATCCTGAGCGGCAGAGGTGAGACGTTTAAAGAAAACCTCCTCGGCCACTCGCCCGCCTAAAGCCACGCACATTTGGTCGAATAGTTGTTCCCGACTGAACAAATCATGTTCTTTAGGTAAATACTGGGAATAACCTAAACCTTTACTCGTGGGAACAATGGACACCTACAGTGATAAAATGGAGACGTCATAAGAATTTGATTTGATTTGATTGTGAAATGTACAAATATGTCATAAATAATGCACCTTAAGAAGAGGGTCTGCATATTCTAAAAACCATCCAGTGACCGCATGTCCAGCCTCATGGTATGCTACAGTAGTCCTCTCTGCGAGCTGCAGAATGTGGGAGGAGTGTTTTAGACCTTGGGTGAAAAAACAAGTTTTGATTACAAGAGTGCACAATAAGATAAGACACACTTTATTGATCTCACAATGGAGAAATTTGCATGTCACATTTGGAGATCACTCAGGGTGTGCAAAAAGACAGGAAGTGTGCAACCATGTTAGAATGGTTAGAATATAGTTTATTATGTGCAAGAAATATTATGTACATTAAAATTTTAAATAACTATTAACCTAAAATGCAACAACTAAAATACATAGATAACTGACCTCCAATGACTCTTTCCATGGCCTGTTCAAAGTGCTTAGAGTCGACATGTGGGTTAAGATGACGCGCCGCAATCAAAGCAGCTTCATTGCACACATTAGCAATATCAGCCCCTGGAACATCAAGAGTCAATCAGGCTCACGCAAAACAAGACAACGGAGAAAAGAACAAAAAATACAAGACATATTACCAGAAAATCCGGGCATCAGTGCAGCAAGTTTTGTCGCAAAAAGGTCAAGTTTTATAGAAGAGTCTAACTTCAGATTTCTTAGATGCACCTTGAAAATAGCTGCTCTACTTTTAATATCTGGAGGCTCTGAATGGGGGAATTTAAATGGAAGAAAAAAAAACAGAATCGCTTAATATTATCACCACAAATGTTTTTTTTTACTGATTATGAATTAAACAAAAAGTTAGGTAGCCCAGTGAAGAAAACCTGTGTAAATCATAGACTCTAAATATTAAAGGACGTAGTGTAAATGTGGTTTTCTCTATGTACTACCTAGAAGAATGTGGCGATCAAAGCGTCCAGGCCTCATCAAAGCTGGATCCAGGACATCAGCTCGATTGGTGCCAGCCAAAATGATCACATTAGTGCTGCTATTAAAACCTTTATCACAGAGAAATACCATTACATTACTACTCAACACCATGACGTTAATGATTTACATAAAAAACAAGTCTACCATCCATTTCTACAAGTAGCTGGTTGAGAGTGTTCTCCTGTTCATTGTGGGAGCTAAAGTGGCCATTTCCTCTCTTTCTGCCCAGTGCATCAATCTCGTCAATAAACAGGATGCAAGGGGCATGCCTCCGTGCCAGGCCAAACATATCCCTCACCTAAAGTCAAAAGAGTATTAAGTATTAGAACATGATAAATAAAAATTATTCAACTAACATTAAACTAAACAAACTTTATGTACATAAGTTTAAAATTGTTCTTGAAATGCATTTGCTCTTACTCTTGCGGCACCCACACCAACGAACATCTCCTGGAATTCTGAGCCGTTCACAGATATGAATGGGACATCAGCTTCTCCTGCAGTTGCTTTGGCCAGTAGTGTCTTCCCTGTACCAGGAGGCCCTGATAATAGAGTGCCCTAATCCAAAAGAAGTTACATAATAAACTATAATATTATAAGGTTGAAACACATTCCAATTGTGAAATAAAAACCTTTGGAATTTTTGCTCCGAGGTCTCTGTATTTCTCTGGGTTCTTCAAATAATTAACAAACTCCATAATTTCAAGTTTGGCTTCTTCACATCCAGCTACATCCTCGAACTTAACACCTGTGTTGTGTTTTAATAACTTGGCTTTGGATTCACTCAGACTGAAAACACTTGTGCCATGTCCTCGGATGCGCCGCCCTGACAGAGGGTGTTGTGTGGCCAAGAGTAAAAGCCCCATCAACAGTAGAGGAGCTACAATTCCTAAAAGTGCTGTGCTGTAAATAACATTTTCTTTTGTCAGAAAGAAGGGTTTTCTGTACACAAATACTGTTCAAATTTAAATATCCACCTGTTAGTTTCACTGGAATAGATTACAGGGACTTTAGTACACTCTAACTTCATCTCTTGCTGAACCACCTCCAAATTATGTTCAAAGGAGTCCACACTGCCAATGTTGAACCACAAGTAATTCTAAACACATTCAAATCATCACATGACGTTAACATTTATACATTTATACAATTTGTATTTCATAAAACACTGACCACTTGTGAAGTATCAACTCCATGGACAGGAATGACTCTGACATATTGTTTGTTGATCACCTGCAGGTGGTCCACCTGAAATATCACAGTGTTGTACATGTCGTATGTGATGATTGACAATAGAAAACAGTCTTTACCAAGCCTTTGCACAAGTAATGCTCCACAAAGTCTTTCCAGGAAATATGGACCCCTGTCTCACGGAAATGGAAGAACAAAAAAGCAGAGGCAACTCCAGCTGCACCAATGGCAATATTTAAAACTATTGTGTTATTAAAGGACCACTTCTCCTGTGAACAAAGAATAGCTCTTTAGAGTTCTGGAACCAATGTGCATGAGTAGTGGAACGGGTCAAACCTGGAAACAAGTCCACCAATCAAATCGTTTGTGCTTTTCTTCTCTTTGATGGTTTTTGTTTCCATCATCAGATTCGTTTTCTGCTTGAAATGGCTCTGGGTCTTTGACCTTTCCTTCTAAATATTTTGCAAAGAAAAATAAATGTTCCCCACAGGAAATGAAATGCTGCTCCAGTCACACAGTTACCATGACTCACTTTCAGCAGATTGGTTGATTTGTTGATTTTTGGGGAAGAATTTTTCAAAACCTATAATTGACAAGGTACATCATTATAGAATTAATTTAAAATACATTAGATTTAATATTAATACATTACATTGAATTACCTCTAGGGGGTTTGTTCGCACTTAGTGACCTGGCGAGAGGAAAACCAAGTTGATAAAATCCTTCACAATTTCTCTTTGTACTTGATGCTTTCTGAAAGAGCAAAATGGTAAAAGACAAAAGACAAGAACGGGCTTATTCAATAACACTGTATCTGTTTAATTGGGTTACAAAGCAGAGTACACCAGATCCAAACACAAATCCCTGAAACCTGCACGTCTCCTAATCAGACACACCCCCAGGTGAAATTATATGGAACTAAGGAAATATTTTGAGATCAGGAGAAACAAAGCATTCTAAAAACTACACAGATGTATCTCGTTCTATGCGCAATGAAGAACACTGTGTTCTTTCCTTATACAGCGCGCCCCCTGCTGAGTTACTACAGCTAGAATAACACAGTTTAGACTCTGATGTGTGAGAAACCATTGCAACTCGCAGCAGAGCAATTCCACTCTGTTGTGCATTTGCAATGAGTTTTTCCGTTGTTGCCTACCAGAGCTGCAGCTGCACTGCTATTGTGACGAGTTGTGGAAATAGAGGAGAATTCTCTGCTCCAGCTGCGGACAGTCCTGGCGCGGATTCGCAGCGGCCCGACGCCCAAACACAGCAGTCCCATTCTCTGCACCGGGACAGGAGCGCCCTATGGAGCGCACTAGGAGCGCACTGGGACCATTCAAGCTCCGAGAAGGGGGTTTGACCTGTGGCCACATGACAGTCTGCTTCTCAGTCTGACAGTCTTCTTCTACTGATATAGCGCTTGTCATGACACCAACAGGCGCTTCACATGTATGACTGAAGCGCATTCAATACAAGGTGGTGATAAGCTGTGGTCACAGCTGCCCTGGGACAGACTGACGGAGACAGGAAAACCATCCGTGCAGATTCATAAGTGTGATAGAAGTCTATGGGTAGAACACACAATAAAAAACAGATTCCATAGACGCTTTTTAATCGTGCAATACGACACAACATTGTCCGTTTAGAGTCAAACTTTTGTCACACAGCAAGTTTGAAAGTCACATAATGCAGTTTAGTATACAATTAAAAAAACAGTACATTTGAAACAAAAGGCACCAAAATAAAATTTGTTTTTACATTTACACAGTGATACCTTCCTCCAATTTGTATTTAAATAATTAGACAGAATGACTAAATAATGATGAACATCTAAATCCAATGGTATAACAAAAGTCCCCAAATTGACCACTGGTCAATATTTCTAAATCTTACATGATGGATTATTATTAGATGCTGCTATACTGCTACTACGATCTTTGTTGTTGATATAAACAAATATTTGAGGCAGCGAAATTATGGTTTGTGCAAACACATGATAGAATGTCTTTATACATTAAAGAACAGCTCAGAATACTTGAAAAAAAAAAATGTTTAGGTGGATCTATTTCATTGTAAAAGAAATGGTACAAGGGAGACATCTGGATTGGGATGAGTACCCTGTATAATCCATTAAAACATATCGCACCAACAAGTCAAGTCAATACAGAATGAATCATGAAACACGTCTCCATTAACACTTGGTTTGATCAAAGAAATAATAATCATGAATTATATTTTTACCATTATCTAGTTTGTATGTCAAATGGCTCATCCTGTTGGCGCCCAGTCATTCTTGTACATTTTGGGCAAGTTGTGGAGTTATCATAGTAACAGTCCCTGAAGAGACAAGACAGAAACAACCCAATTCTGTCAAAAGTGTTGATATACAGTACAAGCATAGAAACCAGTTACACCTAGAGCTGTGGCATCTCATTAAATAAATGTTTGTGGTTCCTGACAGTGATACATGTGAACTCACCTGTGAAAGACGGCAGAGCAGTCCTGGCAGACTGAAGTGTGGCTGTCAAAAGGGAACAGGATGTCTCCTTCTTTGCACAATTCACACACAAATCCTTTGGCTTGACATTTCTGGACACAAGATTCCAGTACATGAATTTGAATGTCATTAAACTGCCACAATAACTCTTCATAAGCACTAACCTCACAGTCTAATTTAATGTGCTTTGCAAATGTGGTATGAATCTCTGTGAGAGAACAGCTGAGGCGCCCACTCGAAATATCGATCAGATCTTGAAGCGAATACATATCGTCATTTTCCACAAAGTGCTGCCGGTCTTGAAGCTATCGAAAAAGCACACTGTACGTATATGCAACACTTTCAAGACAGAAGACAAACTCATTCAATGTATTTGCAGAGTCAACGACAAAGAAACATTATATTACTACTGCTATTAAAGTCTTGCCTGATGTTTTATTTCTTTCTCCACAAGATGGCGCCAACATCACAACTGACCTGTAAAAGAAGCCTCGCCTCCATAGCCTCCTTACAGGTGATAAAATAAGGCTTCATTAGGAGAATATCTTGACGAAGTTTCTAAGAATAATAAGTTGGCATTGTTCACACAAATAAAGAATGTATTGTACCTCACTTGCTTTAATTCTACTTACTCTGATCTCTACCAGCTCCTCCACAAAGTTAAACAACAGAGGGTTAATTTCTTTCAACTTGAGAACAGGCCGCGGCATCATGAGAGCTAAGTAGCGAAGTGAAGATCGGCACACCTGTTACATACATGTCATCGTTTGATCCAGCTCCTCCGGACAAATATTGTAGCTTTTAACAAAGTAGCTGGGTACCTTTCGTGGCTCAAACTCCCAGTTATGAATAACCCGGGCGGGGATGATAGCGGTGTCATTCCAGTGGCATGTGGTACAGTAATACTGACCTGTATAATCACATTGTCTGGCTTCACTTGGAACTCCCCCTTTAAGACAGCATGAAGTGACATTACAAATATAACAGGATCCAACAAATCTAATCTACAAAGCTAACTATGGTGGAATGCAATTTTGTATTTCTGAATATATATATTAATACATATATATATTTTCAAGTGTGTTTCTTTCAGCTCACTCACTCAGTGAAACTGGGGTCCGACACTCAGAGCAACGATAGTCTTGTCGATCCAAACCAATCTCAGGGCAGATACTGAGCTCGTACTCTGACTGATGGCTGACTTTGGACCGCACACATGGTTTGTTGATCAAATTTAGACACTTACTATGACAACGATAATAACAGCCTAAGGGAAGAACACATTTATTGTATTTTCTTTACATAAACAATAATCAGCCGAGTAAACAGCTAGTGTGTGTGTGCTGTGTGTTGTGTGTTGTGTGTTGTGTGTTGTGTGTGAAGTCATGAGGTCTGCTGTGACCTATAAAAAAAAGAACCGTAAAACATCCTCTTAACAAATGTGCTTTCATGTGTCCAAGAACAATCAGACGTGTCTTTCCCTACAAGACTATTTTTGCGTTAAGTTTGTCCAGGGTTAGTTGGAGAGAGCAGAGAACCAGACTATGCAGAATGTAACTGTGGGTATTTTTACCTGTGCAGGTGTACCACGTCTGGATAAGGCCCCAGATTATGGCACTACACTTATCACACGTCTGTTTCACACTCTTGCTCTTTTCTTTAGAAAATCTGTGTTCCAACAAAATTCTCAAATTAGGTTCATCTTCCTCTGGATCCTTAAAAACAAAACACAACTTGCTCATAACACCGTTAATGGCAAATGCACAAAAATAATCCTTTAGAATTTTAAATTCACTATTGATACACATGCAATGTCTCACTTTATAAAAAAGAAAAAAATGTCTAAATTGATTATACACTATTGGCCACAAAGATAGGAATCCCTCTTACAGATAAATCCAATCAAACTGAGATCTGATACAATTCTCATAATTTGCCCATTACGATAGGGAAATTATAAGAAGTAAAGAAGCCAGTGTCTGTCTCAGTTCTTTCTCCTGAAAACAGTCCTCGTCCTCAGCTCATGACCGGTGTATTTTGATTTAAATGAACACTGAACAGATTCAGTGTCTTGGTTGTAATTATTCAGGTCATATGTTAAAATATTAATGTATTATTTATTTTGTTATAAAACAAATAATACTGCCTTTGGACTACGGCTGAAATTGAGCGGTTAAGCTAAGTCCGGTGCATTTACACTGACGCTTAAGGCATCAATGTTGATGAAAGTGCCTTGTTCCAACTAAAGAAATGAATAAATATGTATAAACATTATACAAACACAATGTTGTCCTGGTCTTTTAACAGATCATACCTTGAGCTCTTGCAACTTGAGGCGAAGGTGGATGAGTTTAACTACAGTGTCCTTCTGTTTCTCAGAGTGCTCCGGCAACTCCAAGATCAATTTCTTGCATTCCTCAATGGCAAGTTTCAGCTTTTCAATGTCAGAATCCACACAGGAACCCTAGAACAGGGGCAGACAATGTAAATGTGGCTAAATCAGGCCCCGATAACAAATACAGATATTAGGACACACCATAGGCCTAGAGAAGTGATCTTCAGCCAAACCCAGGTCCATAGTCCGGTCAGAGCTCCCAGTCCCAGACAACTCTGCTCTGGGCTCTGCAGCAACACAAGGAAGAGTGCACTTATGCCAGCAGTCAACTGAAATGGAGTCACAAAAAACACAATGTAGGCAATATAGTAGTAATAGGTTACACATTGAGCTTGTTAAAGATTGAAACAAGCTAGTTTGCGTTGAAATAAATCAAAGTGTAAGCAATTACACTTTCTGAAGTAATAATGAAGTCTTTAAATGTTGTGCATTCTGAGCCATTCTGAGCTTACTTTAGTCTGGATCATCACATGTGTCAAACACAAGAGTCGTTTTAGTGGCCCCTGAATTTTTTTTATTTTACATGTTTAACTAAGAAAAAAACCACATAATTGAATGTACTAAAATACTTCAATCCAATAAGGAATAAGAAATAATTACATCTGGTTTAATCAAAAGAAAACATTAACTGAAATAATGTTGTCCGTCTTAGTGTTAATAATATCCACAGATGCAAAAGACGAGCATTAAATAAAAATATTAATTTTTTACATGGGAGGTATTTTGAAAAGTTACTTTTGATATTTTTTCATATTTATTGAGCTACGTAATTTTTTTCAAAATGTAAGTATCTAAACATGTTTTTTTTATCTTTTATACTAAACATGTTCAGCAAAAGATAATTATATTGTTTTCTTGAAAAAATAAAATGTATAAAATGCCATAGTAGCCTATGCCAGTTAATAATTAATAATCAAAATAATGACAGGGGCCACAAATGGCTACTTTTCATTTGTTTATTTATTTCAAAACTATCAGCATATGGCTCACTTTATCACTGTTGCAGCCAATACAATAATTTGTAACAATAATTTACCAGTCCAGTATCAGACATGCTTTTGGGAAGTCTGAGGAGGAAGGAAGTTTCAGTTTTCTCCTTCTTACACACACACGAGTAGACAAACCAGACCTTCTTGCACAGCATAATTCAATTAAATGCATTTTTATATATCTGTAAAATTAAATTGATACAGTAGAGCAAAGGATTGCAGTATTTGATTGAGGCTATATCCACACGGAGACAAAACGCTTATAATTTCAGAAACTTTTTCTGTAAACACGGAGTTAGCTCAGTAAATGTGTGCGTCCATATGAATCTAGTCAATACGCCTGAAAACGCTGTGAAACTATGCCAGACCTGTTGGTGGCGCTGTGACGCAATGACGGGATCAAGCCCAAACTTCCGTGACGGGAACTGGGCATGCGCAGAATTTTGTAAACAGACAACATGGCGAGTGGGCGAGCTGGTACTACATTAGTATGGACGGACGATGAGGTTGAACTGTTGCTTCGGGTCGCACTGGATTACAAAACCAACAAGCTACATTGTTGTTGTCATTATTTTCTGAGTGCGGCGCATGCGTGCTTTAACAAGAGGCGGGGCGATGACCCAAGCGTCTCAGATACATTGCGGAGAGGCAGTAACCACGGAGCGGCATATACGGAGTTTTGAAATCTTTCCACTCTGGGACCTACTTTCAAAAATGTTCGTTTACACCCCCCCAAAACGCCGGCCTCGTATGGACGATACACTGGATTGATCAAGTATTTTTGCGTTTAGGCCTGAGCTTGACTTCGTGTGGACAGGGCCTAAATAATTAGATGCTTATAAGGCTTTGCACTTAATTTAATGTGCAGAAAATAATACATTTGACATTGGAGTTGCGAAGTCACATTGTCTTTATTTTTTGTAATACTGTTGAATAATATGAGGGACATGAATTGCAATATATAGGAGAATTGAATCGCAATACTTTGTTCATTGAGACTTAGGTACTGCCGCACACAAAGGCCAAAACCATATACACTTTAAAAAAAAAATTATATATATATATATATATATATATATATATACACACACATATACATATACACACACACACTGGTCAAGATAATTATTGATGAAAGCAAAAGAACACAGTATATGTTATTTGACAGTACAAAAGAAAAACTTTTATTGGAAACTGTTGATGATTCTGCTCAAACATTGTTGGAGCAAGGCATCTTTTCATTTTTACAGTCCAACGCACATAGAGACATTACATACTAAAAATGAAGCCATGCCTGTTTTAAAACTGAAAAACACATGGATCCATGGATCATGGATTTTAACATTAACATTTTAAAACTAGCATCTATTGTAGGTAGGAATTGAGGGGGAAATATGTAATTAGGAGAACTTATTGTAAGAGGAACATCTAAAAAAATAAAAAAATAAACAACAATTTAAAGAGCGACTAAACACCAAATCACATTTTTTAAACTCATAAACTGCATAAATATGTTTATTGTAGTGCTATCTACATATCCTGGTCATTTTTTTGACATTTTAGTTCAAATTAGATAAAATATCACTTTTGAGCCAAAAAACGTCTGTGTGGCGCCCTCTCAACCTTTTTGGTGGTACTACATTTGAATTTGGTTCTGGCCTCTCCATTGACTCTGAAGTTCTCTATGACATCAGTTGTTTTGTGTGACGTCAGTCTGTCAGAGCCAGTGATGTGAACCCATTCAACTCTCACACACGCCCCAGCTGCAGTTTGGAGTATTCTGGCGCCATCTAGTGGATTAAAATTAAATTACATGAGTAATTCTGAGATTATTGAGTGTGATTAGGTTCAGGTGTGTAGCTTTACAATTATCTAAGTGTGTAAACAAGGGTGGAATGAGACTTTCTGGTCTGTAAACTATTGCTTTAAGCAGCAATGACAACTGTCTGTTTTTTTTAGTGAGACAAGTGAGCTGTCAATCACAGCCCAGACCACGCCCAACTCTAAGCCCCCCTTCTTGTCCCTTGGTCCTCCAGGCAACGCCCTTTTAAAAGAAACTTTTCAAATGTTCATGTGGGCGGAGTAAGGCTGTGCACAGGTGTTTAGTCGCTCTTTAAAAGGTACAGTGAGCACTTATTGCCATCTAGCGTTGACATCATATATTGCAGTCCAGGATATTATGGAAGCCTTCGATGGACAATATGTTGTCTTTGACAGTGCTCCTCAACTCTCAGTCATTCACCAGACTGCCAAGGAAAGAATACTTTAGTTTGATAAATGACTGGATCTCTCCAAACGTCTCGGGGACTTGACAGTTGCGTGGGGGCGACATGTAAACAAGGCCGCGTTCTGACGCGGCACCCTGCACAGAGGCTGCACTGAGTTTTACCATGGATCTATAATTTATAATATATAGTTTTACAAACGCGGTGTGAAGAGAAAAGACACATGGAGGAATAACGTCTGCGGGAGCTTAAAACTACGATCAAAGAAGCAGGAAATACACAGAGCCGCGGCAGGACATGGCTAAAAGCTCATGTTAGCAATATTGTTAGCCACAGCGCCCTATCTGCATCACGGCAAGAAATCAGAACATTCACACACGCTGCTGATGAAGTATTCTGGTGATTGTTTTGTGGGAATTCTGTGTGTTTTATTTGTCCCTGGATAAGTTTAGTTGAAACTGGTGCTCTGTGACTTTGGTGGCATAACTGATTGCCACCCCCCGACCCAGAAACGGATTAAGGGGTAGAAGATTTATTTATTAATTCTAAGCCTATGAAAACAATAAAAAATTCATTTTGGAGGTAAATCTTCTTTAAAAAGTCACATTTGTTATTAGTTAACATGTTTTTTTCATATGGAGCAACTGTAAAAATTACACAGGGTGGCTTTAAGAAGTACTATTATTGTAGTTTGAATCAATAATACAACAAAAGAGCAGGGATTTAATTTTGTTCCCAGAAAATGACAACAGAAAAAATATTCTTCCGAAATTAATTAACCTGGCCTGCAAGCTGAATTCTCGCGGTATTTGTGAGTTCACAAACACTCGCGAATACATCTTGCCCCGCTCCCGCCAACCCTTTTTGAGTAGAACATCTAGGTGTTCAAGCCAATCACGCGCCAGTCTGGGGGTTTAGGGCGGGATATCCGGGTTTGACCAAAGCAAGAAGTGCCGGGCTGAAGCAAAACAAACATGGCTACGCAGGAGGACGGACGCGTAGCTGAGGCTATCAAGTTAGTTTTAGCAGAATCTCTAATTTCTTTTTTGAAAGATGAACAGCGAGAGGCGCTTTGTGCATTTCTGGACGGCAAAGATGTTACCGGGATTGGTTTAAGTCAAACCTTGGTAGGCGGGCACACAGCGTCACTTCGCCCAATCAGCTTGAAGTATTCTGCTGCTTATCCCTCCTTTCCCCGAAAGGATTCTCCTGCAGAAGTCCCAGATTGATATTGTGGAGAACGCATTAGAGTTCTACACAATCATCAATCTGGCTCTTTCCAGGTTAGAAATTAATAAAGGATACTAAAAGGGAGGGGAGCTCTTTGTGTGGAACACAGCAGAACAGGGATAGACTTGCAGATTATTCCCATTTTATTGTGTGTTCTTCCCAAACCTTCATTGAACCTCAGCTGAGTGTTATTCCATAAACAAACTAGGTTTGGGCGATATTTTTTTTGTACCGGTATACCGGTATAAGTGAATTAAATGATAAGAAAATGCCTTATACCGGTGAAAACAATCATTTAACACTGAAAACGGCGAGCGGAAGACACGTTTGTGTGCGGCGCACTTTGATGACGCATCTGCGCGGCACGTGTAGCAGAGCGGCGTGCAGGGACAACAACAACAGAGCAGAGAGCAAACATGGCTGAGGGCGGCGGTGAAGACCATGGTGAAGACATGCAGATTGTAGAAGACATTGTGCCAAAACGCGGAGCTACCTCAAACATATGGGAGTAGTTTGGGAACTAGATAAAAAGAAGCAATTGTGTGTAACTATCGACAGTGGATCTAATGTTGTGAAAGCAGCTGCCCTAAACAACTGGACTCGAGTGGCTTGCTTCGGACACACGCTCTCTCTCTCTCTCTCTCTCATAGTGCCATTGGTAAGCTTTATTTACTGTTTACTGTCATTCATTTTACTTCAATGCATGTGTTTGTCTACATTGCAATATAATTACAAATAAGTTATAATTACATAATTATAGAAACGCAAAAGGATACAAAAAATATATACAGTATTTGATCATTTTGACTATATTGGGATTAGGAA